AACAGAACAGTTCTGTTATATTTATGTAAAAACATCCACATTATGTTTTATTATATATGGCAAGAAATTAAAATAAAAAAACGTTAGCTGTATGGCATTTCAAAGACATCTCATTATCGTTTTATTCGCAAATGTTTTGTAACAAATCAAATATACAATCATTGTAACGGAAACGCTTGAAGTTGTATTTTACGACTATCGGATGTTAATGTTCTGGTTTATCTAGCGTTCATAGTTCCGCTTCTAGGGAATCATGGTTACATCAGAGCATTTCTAGAAATCCATTACAGTGACAATGACAGTGTCGTATTTACCTTGCCATACCAAAAACAATCTATATTATCTTCATTGTCAGGTATGCTCGGTTTGTTATCGCATGACGTTAATGGACATTGATTGTTCATCGAGTCAAGTCTTACTTGACAGAATTTCCTGCTCTTTAAAGTGCATTTAATTACAGCAATTTTTTTTTAGAATTTAGCAGATTTGATACTTTAACCACTATTATACCATATTTGTTTATTAAACATTTCCTGCGCTGATCTGCTAATTTAATTCTTACATTCCCATACAAATATTTGTAAAGTGGGGTTGCTATTCTTTGAGCTAGGGATAATCCATTGATATCTTTAGGAATTTTGGTATTGAAATACTAAAACAGAGCGACCTCATAAGACTAGAGGGATTTGCAGACATACCTGAATTTATTGATGTATATGGCTCCAGCCAGCACTCTAAATCCCGTGCCACACTAAAACACCGCGTTTGCAGAGCATATGAAGGACGTTGTTTAATTTTCCAGTGCTATTTGATAAAACAAGAACAATCTGATCTTTTTCGTGAACATATAGATTTCATGGCGTCGTGTCGCTCTATTGCGTTTCTATAAAGTTTTTTTATTGGTATTTGCCTGCACTCGAACGGCGCATCCACTGCGTGTTCAATGCTATCATAGTGCTTATACTGCCGTTTCACGGCAGGTTAAGCATGGTAGAGACCTAATGACATCTCAAAGAACGTAAATACAATGCTAGTGCACTGATAACACAGCGTTCACGCTGTTATTTTGGAAATAGATATCAATTCTGAGTGCATTGTTGTAGAATAATGCACGGTTTGAGATCAAATGCGTAGTAATATAATCACGAAGGCCGTTAGGCCTGAGTGATTAATTACAAAGCATTTTCAAGAACGAAAAACGTGCATTATTATACAATAATGCACGAAGAATTAATATCTATTTCCATTCTAATACGTCAAGAAAAAATATAATTATTATTATAAAGTTGGACTTAATGTTAACTTTGGTGGTTAAATTTGTTTTCGCCTCAGATTTTCCAATAGAAACGTTCGTTAAAGGCCATTCCAGTGGGTTGAAAAAAAAGTTGTCGTTAAATCTACCGTGTGTAAATAAACATTTTGAGAATAACGAATTTTGAAAACGTTGATAAAACTTTGTTTGTTTATTTTTTTTCACTCTATAATTTTCCAAGCGAAATAAATACAAACTATTAGAAGTGAAATAAATGTAAAACTAACTCGTTTGCGACATTAAAATAGCGTACTTGATTTGATTGTTTTGCACGTGCTGTTTGGCGCTACATTGTGACGTCACGTAAACAACACTTTAAACGTCTGTACAGCGTTAACGACTGAATTAAAGATATTGGTGTTCGGATTCATTTTCTTAGTTAGACCAACAACAACAATTTATTTATACAAAAGGCAGTAAGGATGATAAATGAAGCTGTATCCAAATTAACTTATGCTCGATATTTCATAATTAAGTAGAAGCAATTATTTTCTCATATAAAAGACATTTTAGAGAAATTTATGAATACATATTTTTGTACCGGAACTAAACATTCTTTGCCATATGTATATTTTGATATGCACCCTATTTGTATTGAAAAATGCTTGGATGGTAATAAAATGGTTATGTTCTGTTCATTTGCGAGCCGACGTTCTACTGACGGGCCGCTGTTCTACTGACGTCAATGTAACGCTGCTATCTCGGCATTCTGATTGTTTGAGAACGACACCCTACTGTAGTGTTACAGGGATTTAATGAGCATGATATCTTAATAAGAAGTATTCAGAAGTATTGAATCTGAACAGACGGCATAAGTTGGTAAGCCATAAAGGATTCAAAGCAAAAAGATATTGGACAAAATTATAAAAAAAGAACATTCTAACAACAAAAACTGCCACATGTTCACAGTATTCACCGTGTAACATGTTTGTATTTATTGCAACTTACATGATTTGGAAGACAAATACCATTTTGTAATTATTTGTTCATGTTGTACTCCTGCATGTTGTGATCATGCATCTTTTTTGACTCAATCAAGCTTTTTTACACATATATTTTATAATGTTAACAGCATTTAAACATTCATCTCATTGTGATAACAGAATGTTTCTCTCTTATTGATATTGTTAACAAAGTAAATGAAAGTTGAGCATATTGACTTGCAACATTGATAAACATGTATTCCTGGCAAAACCGCCAAACACGCAAATCGTCGATTAATTCTATGGCAAACTGGATCGATTAATTTAAGATTGATCATTATTGCAGAATTAATGTGTTTACCTTATGATGGATGGTAGTCCATTTACAAATATCGCAAAATATAGACATCAGTCATTCTCATTGAGGAAGCTACGTGTTTTGCTGGAAGATCATTGGTTATACAGCACCTATGTCTGATATAGTCTAGTTTATTCCTTGGCATGATGGCGCCTGCAGAATCTATAACAATGCGGCCAGTACAGGTCACAATCAGCCGGTTCATCCGTGCCGTCTGATCATCGTCTGCAAAGACAGTAGAAACAATCGAAATATCTCGGCTATAATTCATAATCATAATGTTCTTTTCCGAATTTTGACAAAATGGGCCGAGAAGATACGATTGGCAGTACAAGTTTTCGGATTTTCCCTAGAAATGATTAATGATTTTGTTAAGATTCCATGTAAGATATATAGATGGGTAAGGTTTATAAAGTACCCAGAGGGACACCTTTTGTATTTCATCACCAGCAATGGTAGAGATACGCTAAACGGTATTGCTTGTATATGCCTTAAACTTTAAATATCAAAAGTTGGTTCATGTCAGTCACCTGAGAACAATATGGTATAAAAGTAGATGTTAAATGCTGTAAGGTAATGTATCCACTATATACTGTATAGTTTCAATGTTGAAAGGATCTGCTTTCCTGTGAATAATCATTTACAAGAGATGTTTTATTATCACATATGAATGAAACAATCAAGAAATAATAAACTTTTTAAAAAAAAAATCCTTTATACGTTTATGTGACATTGATAACCTCATCTCGAACGTTAGCGTTTAGCTCTCTTAGCCGCAATGGCCTTGACCTTTGAATTACTGAACTATAAATCTATTAGGTCAGCTATGATCAACCTTGACACAAATCTTATAACGGCAGGCCAATCGTTCTCAATTAATTAGTCAGACAAGTTTGTAGTTGTTAATGCCAAACTGTTCTTGACCTTTGACCAACTGATCAATGAAATCAATAAAAATCTAGAAAGGAGTGCTCCTTAACAACAACAAACTGTAATATTGAAGTTCCAGACTCGGTTTTCAATCTCCAACACTTACGTCATGGAATCAATGATCCCGAAGACCCAGAAAAATATAACCAAATGAAGTTCGGGACAACCTTTGATAACCAGGTGTTTGTGACTTATGCAACCAAACGGAACCATTTGAACAATTTTGGTTGGAGAACAACCAACCAATGATCATTTATGTGTAGTTAGGCATTGATGCTGTCCAAAGAAGTTGAGTCACTTGTCATTGATGTTGTCCGACGATCAACGCACGACGAAGCACAAAGGGTCATCTAAATAGCCTACCATAAGTTCTCTGTGCCAAGGTGATTTTAAAGCAAAGGCTTGGATCGATTTCCAAAAATACTATACCAGAGAGATCATAACTTTTTTTAAAAAAATGTCCATACTCAATAAATTGTTTAAGTTAAGACAGTTTTATCAAATCAATCAAATATGCTTCGTATTGTAATCTATAGACTGGAAGCAAATGTAAACACCGGGGGAGAAAATGAAACACTCAAACACGCATAAAGATAAGATTATGATTATATGAACTTGTTTATCCCGGTAGTGAAGACGAAATCCTGAAATATAAATCTCAACAATGGCAACAATAGTGATAAAGTTGTTTTTGTTATGATTTACTGGCACTGTTGTTCAGCTGTTGTTTTATTGTTGTGTTCATTTCTATCTTTTCAAAATATTACGATTTTCTACATGTTTAGAAATTATGGATTTTGATTTATCTATTTTGACCAAAATCACGGACTTAAATTTACCCGAGAGCTAGATATTCTCGTCTGTTACGAGCAACCTGTGTTTCATTCTTTTTCTTACATATTACATATTTCGAAAAGAAATTATGAAATCTAATATTTTCTGTTAGTTTATACTTGTTTTTCTTAAAATAAATAAACGTCCGTGCTAAAATAAAATACCTCTCCGACAACAACCTTTACAATTTCAAATTAAAAAAAAAATTTGCTTTTGCATAAAACAATGTGTGAACATGACTATCGTTTCAGTAAAAAATATGATAGCTGAAGAACAAAGCATGTAGAAATATATATGCCAATACATTATGCACGAAAAAATAATATTAACATCAATTACTTTATAAATAATTAAATGAAAGTTTAGAACTGAATCTTTTTTTTTTCATCATCTCTGTTGGACAACTATTTTGTTACAGTTCTCCAAAGTCTACAATGATTTGTTTTTGTCCGCTTGGTGATTGCACTGCTATACCCAGGAGTACACTATCACCGAGAATAATAGAACTATAACGATCAACTGTAGTGTCATTTTAGAATAATTAAAAGTCTCGATATTTTCCTCTACGATTTAATGATAATCATTGGGCTCACCTGTAGAGAACTATTCTCATACTGTACAAGCACTCATTGATTACGCCTCGGAACACCTCGGACAACAAAATTTTCTACCGGTGCAATAGAGTGTAATGTTATTGAGATGATTCCATTTTGTAATAACGATCAGTGTCCATGTGTCATGTTCGGGGGAATAAAATGGGTTTTAACGTATTTTATATAATTCTACATCTTACAAGTCTTTTTGGAAATCATTATGTAATATGAAATATATTTGTGTTCAATATAAGCTGTCGCTCTTATTTTCATAGTAAACTGAAGAAGGATAACGTGCCGGAAACAAAATTGTTTGGAAAGGTAAACAGCATTAATGTGGATCGTTAAAAGTGCTATGTTTAGTAAAAGTTATCGGTAATTTGTACTTTTCAGTGCTTGAAATAAATACATACATTTGCTTGAAAGTTTATCGAAGCATGATAGTTTTGTCATTTACAACGTTGAATAAAAATGTAATGTCTAAATGTAACTAGTTTCTGCTTCATAGACAATGTATGTAATTTTAAAAATGTACAAGATAAACTAGAGGTACATAGAATACATTGATGGTATATCTATCAAGTTCTAATGTTGGATTATGTTATTTATGACGTCTAAACATGGCACTATTGAACCAAATTTTCATGACGTCAGTTATTTCTTTACTGGCATTTGACGCCTCAACAACACATTTGTCTATGGTCTTTTTGTGTGATTCTAATTTGCACGATATTTGCGAGGACGCGATCAACAACATCAAGGAGTTACCTATAGAAGTTGAAGATGTGCATATTGAATTGGTTGGAATTGTTATACGTAGCTCTGGAGACTTTATCCAAGATGTTCGCTCTTTAAACAATGCAGGTAAGAATACATGTTAAAGGCACATTGCCTTCGATAAAAGGTAAAAAAAAGAGTTTTCTGACGTTAAAATAATGGCTTAAGAGCATGTAAGAAGCTTATCACATGAAGAATGTAGCGCAGAATATGAAACTTTTTGTCATAAAATAAGCAAAATGTAAACAATGTAGTACTTCAATACAAAACATGTCACTATATATATCACTATAATTGTTCTAACTTCAAAAAATCAACAGAAAAATAATGGTCGAGGTATTTGGCCAATAAATAAAATTTTGGAAAATTTAACAGAATACAAAAAAAAAATGATATGCTTTTGATAGATAAAATAAAACCATTTTGGGGGCATAGTGGGCTTTTAATGAAAATGTAAAAACAAACCAAAACCAACCAATATTTGATTCCACTCGAGGTCACGAAAGCTAATTGAAAATGTGACGCTCATTAATTCAAAAGTGACATTGTCGGGTCTTTCTAGATCTTAAGATAAAGCTTATGAATGTATATAGATGTATCATAATCTAATAAATCTATAAATTATTCACAAGTGAATTGAAATACAAGATCGATTAAAATTATGATAGCTGATGGCTATTCTGAGAAATTAATATGTCGGACTATTTTCAATATTTGAATAAGAAACGGCCGTGTATGGTATAGAGTAGATAATGATATTCATCAATATAGAGACAATGATAATCCTGTAACTTTTGACCTCACAGTTAAATATTCAATAATTTCTGACAAATGTTTCAAGTGCTCATCCAATACATAATCTGCTAATGGTTAATGATTTGACCCCATTAACCTGTAGCAAGAAGAGTACATTTATTGCAATCGGAAAAAATATATTCATTATAGTCCTTATAGTTAAAATTCTCGGTTTAGTATACATGTCTAAAATAAAGAAATATTTAAAATGAAATGAATAAATAAATAAAAATTGAAAAAAAATATTTGTAGGTAGCTATAAATCTTTAATGGCTTAGAAATTTATATGTTATAATACTTATAAAATTATCTTGCAGACTCTGAAAACATCATTTTGTTCATTGGTATTGGAAATGATCACGTGGTTAATGCAGTCTCGTGCATCTCGCGTGCTGTTGGCGTTCCTGCTTTTGTTTATTCAACGTTGAGCCACAGGATCAATGTGAGTTGCACAAATTTCTAAGCATAATCAATATATATATATATATTCAAAGCGGGTTGGTCTACAATGGGCAGATTTTGCATGAGAATTTCAAAATTTTGGTAAAAACAATCTTTTGGATATTATCATTGATCATTTCCTAGAAAAAATGTTGATACATTTCTAAGTGAATTAGAATAAGTATTAATATGATTAATGATAATTTTTTGTTCAAGAACAATTTATTACCTGCTTTACATGTATAAATCACATCATATTCAAAACTTACCAACAAAATCAGTATATAATTCTTTTATTTAATATTGTCACAAATTATACTTAATACTACAAACATAATTCGTATGGTGTAACAGACCTTTCATTATGGATCAACACTTAGAGAAAGATACGAATATAGCTCTTACTACTTTTTGATAAATTTATTTGCTTTTTCAGTTGGATAACGTTTCCAGTCTTAAATTAATACTAATACATTGTACCTTAATTAATGTTTTTGGCATGCATTTACAAACCTGGACAGCAGATGTTAAATACTTGCACAGGATTAACGTTTTTCCTAATTTCTATATTAGATGTTTGAACAGGACGTGATTTCTATCCATCCGGACCGGGAAGGTCTAGCACAGGCTATCATCACGATTATCGGTAAACAATTGGTTAGGAATGCGTTTGTTATTTGCCAAGATACGCTCCAGTTTGACGGATTCATGGAGGTCTTTCATAGGAATAACATGCAATATAACAGGTTGAAATTTATCGTAATGTTATTTCAAAATCTTATGACCAACACAGCTTCGTGCCTTCATTGGCCATTTGTCCTAAAACAGGCACAATTAAACAAGGGAACCAGTTTCTATTTCTAATCTACGTGAATCTCATCATGGCTGGATCTGAAGCTGTTACATTTTTGACAGAACCATATTGTCCATCTTTATTTATTATATTTAACTAGCCTTAACTATTTATGAACTGCTCTAATTATTGATTATTTATCTAGTTTTTTTCCTTGCATAATAAATGTCTCAAACCCATGACACCTTCGTTCAGATTCGAAGTTTTTGTCGACAGAACGTATTTATACTGTAATGATACACTTAAAAACACCTTTGGAAATGCTTACTGTATAATTTTGGTAAAAAATAATCAAAATAAATGAACGATATGAATATTTCATTAATATGCGTATTCATATGCGTGTCTATTTTCTAATTAGCAGAAGTAACGAAAGTCTCGAATCAACAATATCAGTTTCTGATAGTGACCTTGACCTCCGAACTTTGTTACTGAATGTCCATGACAACGGATTTCGTTTGCTGATAGTACATAGTTCTCCACAACTATTTGAAAGGTAGGGAAATATGGCTATTTCAGCTATCAGTTTTCATCTGCGGCGTATGGTATTTTGTTAAAAATCTTCGGAATCATTTGTAACGGTATCTAATTGGGGATTTTATTTCAAATCTTATTTTACGAGCGTAATTAGAGAATTTGACATTATCTAATTGCCTTGAAACCTCTGACGATCAATACTAACTATTATAATTCACGACAATTTGCTATGACAAGGGAAATCAAGAAATTAAACGAATTTGAATAATATTCATGTACGTGTTTTAACAATTTTACATTAGTCTGCACTTTGACTTCCGGTGTCTCATCTCGAACAGGTTATCCACCCGCACAATTTATATTCAATTTCCGGAAATTGTTTTTCAGTTACGGGGAAAGAATAAGACATTTGCATATCAGCATGACTGTATATTTACCTTAAATGAGCTATTGCCTCGTATAATGAAGTAATTAATGAAACTATCTCAACGGTGACTTTAATCTGAACATCTTTCATTGATAGTTTCAATACCTGGACATCTAGTTGAACCTCTCGGTTGTATTGATGATACCATATGCAATATTCCATTACTTAATCATCCTGTATAACTAACTTGTAAAACTTTCTTTGCAGATTAATCAAAATAGCCACTAACATGCTATATTTCAATACTGGATATGCATGGATAATCACAGAAGAGGCAATGCCAAATGTTCCCATGTCAACCAATGTTACCATGACAACGGGTGATGAAATGCCTAAAGGTTTGCTGGCTGTTGACGGATATGAGGAGGATAATTATATGACTTTGTTGAACGATGTTGTCAAAATAGCGAGGTTAGTTTAGTCAAAATAGCGAGGTTAGTTTAGTCAAAATAGGGAGGTTAGTTTAGTCAAAATAACGAGGTTAGTTTAGTCAAAATAACGAGGTTAGTTTAGTCAAAATAACGTGGTTAGTTTAGTCAAAATAACGAGGTTAGTTTAGTCAAAATAGCGAGGTTAGTTTGGTCAAAATAGCGAGGTTAGAGTACTATCTAGTGTTACACATATCAGACTAAAGATAACTAACATGTTTTAAAACATTATGAAAGTCTTAAGATTAAGTTACATCCAGTATTTTTAACTGTCAATACATACTTGAATTTCTCCGACTACATGAATTATTGTCATTACTTTTTACTCATTAAAAAAACTATTAAATATGGATTTCAGAGAGGATTTCTTTTTATACATATGCATGTTTATATAATTACATTCATAACATATTGAATACAGGCCCTTGTTAGCAAAAGATCGGATTATTGCTACTGTCATGGCGTAGTTGCTGTTGCCGTTGCAGATGGCGTTGATCATGATTTTTTCTTCTTTTTTTCTGTCTCAATCTTTCATACTATGGCACAAGAACCCTTCAATCTCTGCATAAACTATAAAAACTTTGCTGTTTATTCATTGTTTTCATTCATACTTTGGAGGAAAATAAAACGCTAATGACAAAACACATGTTGAATAATAGAAGTATGCCTTGATCTGTAAATTACCATAACTGTCAAGGTCAAATATGATAACAGTTAAAACTGTTAAAAAAGATGTTTCTTTGAATTCCTTCACTACAATGTTCTTCCTCGATAAATTACCTTTGGAAAAAGTCGAACATTTTCCCCGATCGCCAGTGGCTCTCTTGTTTGAATACATAATTATTTGTTCTTAATTTTCTTAATAATCAAATTATATATTTCTACCTAAACGAGAATACTGAAGCAAGTAGCATGTGATGAGAGTATGCCAACAGTAAAACCTTGGCTTACTTTGAAGACCTAGATGGTTTTTTAGACATATGTGGTTAATATCAAGTGAAAAGTCGAGGACATGTACATTTAGTTTAATTTATTCAAATTTATTCTAGTTCGAGTGTGTTGGAAGCTATAAGCTTATGTATAAAAATCTCTCAAATCCGTTCCTGGAACCAACCAGTTCTAAGCAATGAAAGGTGTAAAGTTTCTTGCTCATGGAAAAGACGGCTGCTTGCCCATGATAGGGTTTGAATCCACGCGGTCAGCAATCCTTATATTGTAGTTACACGTACAAAGACAAATTCCAATGTTTTCTGAAAGTTTGAGTAATTACATTAAATTTTAATATAAAAAACTATATGTTTTGTTGTTTTTTTTAAATTATTTTATGAACTATCAGACATACTATAAAAAGGATAAAAATTACCATGTACAGATAAACAATGTTTATTTTAAAGAAATTGCAAGAACTGAATACGATTGTGTGAGAAGTTGTCGCCGTATGTGTCACATAAAATTGAATTGAATTGAATTGTGTCACATACATAAAGGCTATTGAACGTGTGTCAGTATAATACTAAATTTATTGAACGAGTTGAATCAAATGAGCCGCGTCACGACAAAACCAACATAGTGCGTTTGCGACCAGCATGGATCCAGACCAGCATGCGCATCCGCCCAGTCTGATCAGGACCCATGCTGTTCGCTATCAGTTTCTCCACTTGTAATAGAGTTGGTAAGCGAACAGCATGGATCCTGATCAGACTGCGCGGATGCGCAGGCTGGTCTGGATCCATGCTGGTCGCAAACGCACTATGTTGGTTTTGTCGTGACACGGCTCAAATCATATTGTAGGTATGGTTTATGTATTATTTTCAGATCTGAAATATTGCTGCTTCTTAAGAAGGCGTATAAGTATAACCTTACCAGTAGATACATGGCTGAAAACTTCCGAGTAGTTCTAGCAGGCAGGCAAGATGTTTACCAATCATTTTTCAGGTACATGTAATTGTATCATAATATATGGATGTTTTGTTATAGTCTAAGAACCTGTTTAATAGTATTTTTATTATTACCTTGGCCAGAAGTGTAACTCAAAAAAGTACATTCGAAATGTTTAAAGATGTGTGTATAATTTGTTCATTTTTTTCAACAAAACATTTTCATCGTTTTAAACAAACTTGTTTTATTCTTTATCACACGCCTCAACTTTATTGCAAAGATTTAAATTATTTGCGTGCGCGCGCGTGTTTTTTTTTTTTTTTTTTTTAATTTTTCGTCTTTCTATTTAATTTCCTCTTTTGGGGGGATACAATATTGCAATACTGAGACATTTACAAAAAGTCAATTAAGGATTACGGACCCTAGTGAACATGCATTCAAGACGACATATTGAAATGTAATCAAATAATGACATCACATTGAAAACACCTTACATGATAAAAAAAATATACAACAAATAAGAATCCGAAAACACCAAAACAAAGCGAGAGTTGTTTCAGGGTATCATACTATTTAACATAAGCCGATATTAAACGATTAATTACGGTCCGTTATGTCACTATATTGTAAAACAATATGTTGATGTATATGATTAACGATTAAACTAAATACATTTGTAATGATATCGATATTTCAACACCCCTTAACTGATCAATTTTCCATTTCCAGAACCTTCATTTATTTCCGATATTACTGTCAAGATTTGTCATTAATTAAATGCACTCAATATTGTGGTCTAATTGAAAACACTATTATATCTTGTAATTGACTATTTACCGTGATGTAATGCTAGGAAAATAAAAGCTTTATCTGAATGTTGCATTTGTCATTCAAATAACTCAGAATCAAGCTTGATGGGTAAAAAGATCCAAGTAGCTCGGATTTGCAGACGACAAAAATCAATGTGTGGGCTTGATTACAAAAATAATGTCATAAAACAACTGTCACTTCTGCAAATAACAACAGAAATAAAATTGACATCGGGATTTTTATATAAACAGTGAGCATATGGGTCCCAAGTACATCAAAACAAGTTAAAAGTATAGCTTGACAATTACAATTCTTATATCTGATTGCAATTGACCCGATTACCCGCTACGCTAAATTCATATAAATTTTCTGACGACACCGATTTAAAATGTTTAATTAACGTATTTAGGATGTAATGTCTTGATGGGAAACTTACAGGGATTCACCTTTACTCTGCTGGATCCGAAATCGAGCCAGTTCAAATGCATGCATACATTGACAAAAATCTAAATTTAATCCCTGTGAGGTCGGGCTTTAAATGCGTCCTTATGCTTCTGCAGATGTTAATTTATGTAAACAAAATAGGCATTAACCCTTTACTTTAAATAAAATGTTTAACCCAATACTTCATGAGCATTTTGTGAAAAATGGCTGTTTTCATTGAAAAGTCTCCCGTTACAAGTTCAAACTGCTATAATACTATAAAAACTGCTTCAACACTAATCAAACTTGGCACAAATGTTGACTGGACCATTGCCCTTGCAACAACATGCTCAGGCTTAAATTTTCTGTTACCATGGCAACGAGGGGACATCTCAAAATTGCCAAAAATCACTATTTTGCGTTGATTTTTTCCATCAAAATTGATTTCAAAGTGCTGCAACTTCTCAATGGATTGAGATAGAGTCAAATGCTTTTCAGCGTTGGTTACGCGTTACCATATGATCAATCTGGGGTCATTTACAGCCTCTCACAAGTCCAAAATTTTCTTGGCGATGAGGGGGACTCCGCCCCCCCCCTTCAAACCCCCCAAACAGAAGGGGGCACATCCCCCTTCTGGCAACCCCCTGATGTATCTTTTGGTTGGGGGGCCGCGCCGAAAAAGAGGTCACTTTTTTAACAACATTTCTCAAACAAAAACAAGTGTTTGGGGCCTAAATAAGGCATTTTTTCATCATTTGAGACAACAAAAAGGGGGGGGGGGGGGAAAAAGGCGTTAAAAGGCGTGTATATGAAGTAAAGGGTTAAGAGAAAATGATGAAAATACTTAAAATTACCCTAAATCGTGTTTTTTCATGTTTAAACATGGCCTGTCATATAAATTTGAAGAAAAATTGTTGTTTTGTAGATTTTTTATTTGTTTCATTAACCCATTACTTCATGAGCATTTTGTGAAAAATGGCTGTTTTCATTGAAAAATCTCCCGTTACAAGTTCAAACTGCTATAATACTATAAAAACTGCTTCAACACTAATCAAACTTGGCACAAATGTTGACTGGACCATTGCCCTTGCAACAACATGCTCAGGCTTAAATTTTCTGTTACCATGGCAACGAGGGGACATCTCAAAATTGCCAAAAATCACTATTTTGCGTTGATTTTTTCCATCAAAATTGATTTCAAAGTGCTGCAACTCATCAATGGATTGAGATAGAGTCAAATGCTTTTCAGCGTTGGTTACGCGTTACCATATGATCAATCTGGGGTCATTTACAGCCTCTCACAAGTCCAAAAGTTTCTTGGCGATGAGGGGGACTCCGCCCCCCTTCAAATCCCCCAAACAGAAGGGGGCACATCCCCCTTCTGGCAACCCCCTGATGTATCTTTTGGTTGGGGGGCCGCGCCGAAAAAGAGGTCACTTTTTTTAACAACATTTCTCAAACAAAAACAAGTGTTTGGGGCCTAAATAAGGCATTTTTTCATCATTTGAGACAACAAAAAGGGGGGGGGGGGGAAAAAGGCGTTAAAAGGCGTGTATATGAAGTAATGGGTTAACAGAAAATGATGAAAATACTTAAAATTACCCTAAATCGTGTTTTTTTCATGTTTAAACATGGCCTGTCATATAAATTTGAAGAAAAATTGTTGTTTTGTAGATTTTTTATTTTTTTCATTAACAGAAAATGATGAAAATACTTGAAATTACCCTAAATCGTGTTTTTTCATGTTTAAACATGGCCTGTCATTTAAATTTGAAGAAAAATTGTTGTTTTGTAGATTTTTTTATTTTTTTCATTAACCCATTACTTCATGAGCATTTTGTGAAAAATGGCTGTTTTCATTGAAAAGTCTCCCGTTACAAGTTCAAACTGCTATAATACTATAAAAATTGCTTCAACACTAATCAAACTTGGCACAAATGTTGACTGGACCATTGCCCTTGCAACAACATGCTCAGGCTTAAATTTTCTGTTACCATGGCAACGAGGGGACATCTCAAAATTGCCAAAAATCACTATTTTGCGTTGATTTTTTCCATCAAAATTGATTTCAAAGTGCTGCAACTTCTCAATGGATTGAGATAGAGTCAAATGCTTTTCAGCGTTGGTTACGCGTTACCATATGATCAATCTGGGGTCATTTACAGCCTCTCACAAGTCCAAAATTTTCTTGGCGATGAGGGGGACTCCGCCCCCCCCTTCAAACCCCCCAAACAGAAGGGGGCACATCCCCCTTCTGGCAACCCCCTGATGTATCTTTTGGTTGGGGGCCCGCGCCGAAAAAGAGGTCACTTTTTTTAACAACATTTCTCAAACAAAAACAAGTGTTTGGGGCCTAAATAAGGCATTTTTTCATCATTTGAGACAACAAAAAGGGGGGGTGGGTGAAAAAGGCGTTAAAAGGCGTGTATATGAAGTAATTACTTTTCAAGTACACTTACAAACTTCCTGAGTTATTACTCTTGGTTCATTTTTGTTACAGTTAGATTTAGTAAAAAAAAATGTTCGGCGTAATAAACATAACACATAGGTTTGTGAGTAACAGTATAAACATCACCCCTTGTAAAAATACTGTTACCCTCGGCTTACTCCTTGGGGTGATATTTTTACTGTGACCAACAAACCTTTGTATTTTTAGCTCGACTATTCGCAGAATAATCGAGCTAATGCAGTCACCCATTTGTCGGCGTCGGCGTCCCTGTGGTAAAGTTTTTGCCTTTAAGCTGGTATCTCCGTAAAACTACTGAAAGGAATGGATTGAAACTTCACACACTTGTTCTCTGTTATTATCTTACATGATAAGTACAGGTCCTATAACTCTGATTTGCTTTTTTGCATAATGATGCCCCTTTTTCGACTTAGAAATTCCTAACCTGCTATCTCCATAACTCCTGAAGGGAATGGATTGAAACTTCACACACTTGTTCTCTGTGATTATCTAACATGATTGGCACAAGTCACATAAGTGTGATTTTTTTGCATAATTATGCCCCTTTTTGGGCTTAGAAATTCTTGGTCAAGTTTTTGCTTGTAAGCTGGTATCTCCATAACTACTGAAAGGTTTGTGCCTTTTTTTGAACAATTTTATGCATTCATAATAATAAATCAGTGATTAACTCGATAAAACATCTTAATAACAAGCCTTTGTACCTTTTCGGACAATTTTATGTATTCATATAGGTAAGCATAATTATTATACCAATTTGCATTTCAGGGGTTTGCAATCAAATAATTTACTTTTTGGTGATGATGGAAGACGCAAAAATATGCAATATCGTCTGCTTAATTATATCGAAGAAAATAAAGGGAACAAGTCATTCTGGTGGACAGTTGGTTACATTAGAGGAAACGACCTGGACCTTAACACACTGTCGTTTGGCCAGGACAGTCAATCTTTGTACCAATACATAACGTTCGAGCATTCTATTCTGTTGTTACCAAGACCCGCCGCGCCCTTTTTGTACATTATTAGAGGGCCAACAGAAATCACGTGACCAGTGTGCGGCTGATACAGAATGTCTGAAAGTGTTCACAAACGACCCTGTTAAAATAAACTATATCATCGAAAGTTTTCGAACCATGAAAATTCCGAAAGGGAATGATTATAAATACGAGATATATTGTTGTGAAGGTTTTGTTGTTGATATTATTCACGCTCTGTCTTTGGAAATGGAATTTTGAATTTTCTTATTTATTTCCAAGATGACCAAAATTATGGAAGTAATGAAAATGGGGGTGTGGACCGAATGGTAGGGCGGACGTCATAAGTGGAGCAGCCGACATAATGGCGGGAGCAAGTAAGCATAACGTCTCAGAGAATGGAAGTTATTTCCTTTACCGAGGCTTATTATTATCTCCTCGTTTAGTATGGTGTCTGGAAAAAATTACCGCTTCACAACATTGTTGGCGTTCATGAACCCTTTCCATCCGTACGTCCTGGATGATGCTTTTTGTATCAGCTACATCCGTTGGTGTTATCACCTCGCTATTTGAATGGAACAGTCCATTTGGATTGAATCCGTGGGGCAAAAGGAGAAAAAAAAGAATTACACGTACGCTTGGTTCAGCAATAACGATGGTATATTCTCTTTGGTTTGGTCATACCGTAAAAACAAAATCTCCAAAGAGTTGGCCAAGCAAGTTTTTACAGAACTGTTGGGCGTGTTTATCAATATTTGTCCTTGCAGCCTATACCGCAAATCTTGCTGCCTTTCTCGCCGGAAGTGCACGCCAGGATACAACATACAACGTTCTTGACTCTCAGGTACATATTGACCGTAGCTTTCAGTCTTATTGCAAGTTCACGTACAAAAATTCAGATTTACTTTAAACAAAAACGCAGCATTAAAATTTCTTGAACTAAATAACATATGACTAGAACAGTGATTTGAACACCAATATGCTTTACCCAACTGAAAGGAACATCCATACGTTGCTCCAAGTGACCTCTCAGTATCTGTTTTACATGAACGTTTACAAATAAAACATCAGTGTAATAATATTGTTAATTGCATTCGTATTTCAATTAAAAATATATTAAAGTAACAAGTTAAACTTCGTCAGTTAAAACAGTCCCGATTAAAAACATGTTTCAGTTATACTCAAAGAGGATTGGGGTGTTCCAAACGAGTGCAGCGGAGGAGTATATCCGAACTATTAATCCTATCTTGCAGAGCAGATTCAAGAACAACTACCTCACATCAGTTGAAGACGCTTTTTACAAACTCAGGTTCTTATGTTCCCCTCTCTTTAATTAGTTTTAGCATAAATATGTATATCCATGTTAGATATGAACCAAAAGTCGCCCGGTTAGCTCTGAGTGTTGGGCAGTGAATCGGATTCCCGGACGGTGCATGTCACTTTCCTTATGATTGATCATGAAATCCCTTCTATGGTTATTCGCACTTTACCTCTGCATTGGCATGTACAGAAGTTATCAGTTCTTTGCGAAAGTGAAAACAAGAAATTTACGGGGGAAAAACTCCCTTGACGCCTGGCCAGGAACGATCGTGGGGCATACTTTTGGGGTGGTTCACTTTTTGAAATTTCGGCATTTTTTGGTTAAACACCAACACCCCCCAGATATAAAACCAGGGAATTTTTTTCATTTAGAATCCTAATAAACGTGGAACTCAATGGGCCAAAAAAGGTTTTTCGTTCGAAACCTGAAATAAATGACAAGAATGTCTGTACTAAAAAAAACCAAATTTAAAAAGCGGGTTTTTAAATCATTTATTTTAAAATAAACAACAAAAAATAAAGCACACAAAAAATACAAACCTAATAAAAATATTATAGAACTTATTTTAACTCCAACTTTATTTTAATCTTTAAAAACGTATCGAAAAATCGTTGCAAGAGAAATGTTATAGCCTTCAGACATGTAGTTGGCTTCAAGTTCAGAATATCTAACCAAAAAATGCATGTTTCTTTTCAGGAATGACAAGTTGGACTTATATATTGACGATACTCCACTTTTAGAATACGCCTTATCGAAATATGATGATAACTGTTCCATCAAATTTGCATCGCATTACTTTGGAGAAAATGCCTACGCTTTTGGTGTAAAAGGGTCTATGGTTAAAGGTTTAACATGATTATGATGAAAAAACAAAAAATTTTTGATCTTTTTAATTTAAAATTTTACCCTTTAAACGGGAAATGTTTAAAAGTTTTTAAATTTTTCAAATTTTAAAAATGGATTTTTTTAAAATTTTTCATTTTTTAGATTTATACTTACCTATTTTTGAAAACAAAACATGTTTATTTTAAGATTAAAAAACAAATGTCTTACGCGAGGTTACAAACATTCTGGACTGCGTTTTTCATAGAAAGTCCTAAGTCTGAAAGCGGTCTTAAGACCAAAACTGAGACAATTTTGAGTTTCAAAGAAAATGTTCTAACTTATGACTCCTGTATTTGACTCTTAATTTCTGAATAACAATGTTGATGGGCATTTACACATTGCGAATAAAAGGGTCTGTCATTGTATTTCTTTACTTTTTTAGGTATAATCTACAGTATTTGAATGGAGATAAAAATGTTTATTAAAACGATCTTAAGTAAGCCTAAAATTGGTTATATGTCCTTAGAAGACTTAGAATACATTTAGGACTTTCTATGAAACGCAGTCCTGGAAAGTTGAAATCCATCGAAAGCGGTGGCTACGATAACACAGATCAACGAAACAGCAACTTTCACAGCACACATAAATCAGCTTGTAAACGCCAACAAAAAGTCAATTTCATGCATTGTTTTGTATTCTGAACAAAGTTTCATAGTAATTTCAATGACAAAATATATCTAAAATACATATAGAAGAAACATGTTTATATTCTTTTAAACATACGGGAATATTTTGTTCTTTCAGCATAAGCTCGACCCTATCGTGTTGAACTTTGTTGAGCTTGGGTATGTTGAAAATTTGAAGTGGAGATACATGGGAAAGAATAGACAATGTTCTAACTCAATCACAAACACAAACATCGATGACATGCAGTTTGATCTAGGTCATACTGGTGGGCTCTTTGTCATGCTGTTGGTTGCAGTCGGTTTGTCAATAATTCTTCTGGTTTTTGAGCATATAACCTACTTCGTTATTCTACCGAGGTTAAAGAAGAAACCACAAGATAGTATTTGGAAGAAAAGAAATATGGAATACTTTAGTCAGGTACATGACCTAGTCCATACATATAATGATAGATAATGGACTTTCCGAGAATCGAGTTTGATTATACTGAATAAATATTTGCATTTTCTATCTGGCAATCGTCAATTTATATATTGCAATTTAGTAATCATGGAAAAATTGTGATCAATTTCATGATAGTCCTTTTGTAACCTGATAAAGGTGGGCAATACATCGAGAGACTGAAATGGAAAACAATTTCCCTGCTCTGTCCATTCATCAATAAAATTTGCATTAGAAAGATCACTGAAATTAAAATGCAAATGTAATATCAAACCTAAAGCATGATATTCGTTGCCATAGCAATTATATAGTTTTTTATATTAATCGTGCATTTATGATTGCATGAAATTAAAATGGATGAATAGAGTTCAGTGATGTTGACATGTGCTGTCCGATGAGAATAGGAAAAAACTGAATGATAATGTATTATTTATAACTTGAATTGTTAAATGTCGTTTACCAGTCACTAATTTCTGTTACAGAGACTTTATAAATCAATCAACAGTGAAAAGGTAGAGCCACCTGCTAAAGCCTTTCTTTCTAAAGTCAAAAGGAGGAAATTTGAAATACAAAACAGATTAAAACAGGTAATTATCAAACTGATTAATGAAAATGCAATAACATTCATATATTTTAACTGTTTTACAGATAAATTCCAATAAAGAAAATGAAAACGGAAATTAACAATTCTTTTACTTATGTTAATTTACATATATTTTTTTTATGATCAAAGTATAATATTGACTGTCATGTACATGTATTACCATTGGGAGAAAGCTGAAATTACACACTCTGTATGATTGCTAGAATAGAACAATGAATTATAAAAGCTATTTTTGCCAGAGAGACACATTACACTTAATATTCTTTGTATTTCAGGCAAGAAGTGTCCCCGCAGATTTGTCATCATATGAATATAGAAACCGGCGAATAAACCATATCTTAGATGTCGCGTAAGTAGTTCCGCATTCATCATATTGATGATTGTTCTTCTAATCTGCAATTCTCTATTGTGCCAGAAAGCATTTCATAAGGACCTACGTATTAACCTCTGGTAAACTTTATGTCATCAAAATTGAAGATACTAGATTTTAGGACAAGTGTTTCAGCTTTCAGTGATAATAGAAAATATAGCAGAATCCATGGCATATTTTAAAATCCTAAACTCTAAACTATAAATGAGCCGCGTCATGACAAAACCAACATAATGGGTTTGCCCAGACAAGCCTGCGCATCCGCGCAGTCTGATCAGGATCCATGCTGTTCGCTTACAGACCCTATAACAAGTAAAGAACTGATAGCGAACAGCATGGATCCTAATCAGACTGCGCGGATGCGTAGGCTTGTCTGGATCCATGTTGGTCGCAAACCCATTATGTTGGTTTTGTCGTGGCGCGGCTCAAATGCTGAAGAAATAAAATTGGGTGTAATCATATGGTAAAATAGCTGCGGACAGATTCGAAAGTCTAGCCGACAATTGAATCAGGACACCGAATATCGTGATCGGACCTTCAGATATACTGACTCCGAATATCATCCTTTAATAGACATTTATAAATCATTAATTATTCTTTGCATAAAATATATCAGTTATGCATTTTATAAATTGATATGCACGAATTCATGTTTCATTTAATTTATAAAATTTCCATTAAATGGTTTACATTTATAAAATAAGAATGGGATTCGGCATGTAAGTAATGTATTGTTGCGGACCGTATTTATAACGAAACTGCAACAGAGCTAAATATGTGATGTTGAACACTGCAAGCAAAGTAGAGAATTAATCTGTAATAAAGTGTT